GGGCCGTTTGTGACAGCTCTGCAAAGCCGCCGCCGGGGTCATGGTGCGGGCGGCCAGCGAGCACCGGGGGGAGGCCGCGCCGCCGGCCTGAGGCGCGCTGTAATCTCGGTTCAAGGAGGCAGAGCCTGACCCGTGCGCGCTGCGGAAAGGCGCCCGTCGCCGCGTCCCGCCGAGGGGTGCAGGACCGGGCTCTGCGGCTGGCACCGCCGTTTCAAAAGAGCCGGGACATCTGCAGCCCCCGTGGGCTGCAGGGCACCTGCGCTCCCGAGGGATCCATCCTCAGGCGGCCGGGAGTATGGCGCTTGCCCTCAGATTCAGGGATTCTTTGTCTAAAGAGCCTGCAGGAAGCTAAAGGAAGGGCTGCCTTTGCACTGCGAAATCTGAATGGAAGGCAGCATTTCTTTTTGTAAAAATTTCTGATTTCCTCAGTCTTGGGACTTTTTTTTTTCCTTAGGATTTTCATTTCCTCAGTCTTACTATTTTGAGTATGCTCACTACTGTTTTTCCTTCTTTCATCAGCAGGGTATAATGAAGCATCATGTCAAGGCATACAGTGCCTTGTCCTGTAAAGAAAACTCAAAACATGCAGAAACATCACAGCACAAATTCTAAAAAAATAATACCGGGGAACCACTCTCTGAAAGAACATGAAAACATTTTGGTTCATATTTTCTGTCCTTTAAGCTAAACCTTCCAGAGTACACAGATCAAGAGCCCAGTTCACTGATCCTTTCTGTCTTTCTAAAACCTGATGTAGGTGTTCCCTCTCAACCAGTATCTCTTGCCCTGAGCTTCAGTCGGCATAAAGGAGACATCCCAAAATTAAATAGGAGTTTGCAGAGCTACGGTTATTTCAAAGTCAGGGCAGCCCTTACTTGCTTCCAGCAAGGTGTCCCCAGTTAACTCAGGCCTCGTACTGCTGCTCTTGCAATTTGGTTCTGCCATGCCCACTGAAGAGACGTTCAGTCTCCTCACTGAGACCTTAATCTCTGCCTCTTTTTTCCAGAGCTTTCCTCTAACTCTTCCCTCCGGCTCACTATGTACCTAACTTGTACTTTTTACCTAAATAAAATAAAGTCATGCTTTGGAGCTTATTAAATGGACATCACAAAGATCCTGACTGTAATTCACAGGAGTTATTTAATCTAAATCATTCCACAGACGTTATTTACATAGAAGTAAATCATCCGGTAATTAAATACAAGGAATCAATCAGACGCTGATCTGAAAGAAAAGGGATTGAAACACAGCATGTGGAAAATATTAACACTGTAAAGACTGAACTGTCAGTAGTCTCATGAGGACAAAGACCAGTGTTCAGACAGTATTTGAAGTGCAGGAATATCAAAATTGGTATTTTACACATCAAAGGGTATCACACTTTTGCTGACAAGTACTACCTGAGGTTTGGGAGCCTAAATGGAGACATTAGTGGGAGCAGCATAAAAAGGGAAAGTTGTTTTTACAGGCCTTTTATGAATTTAACAATTCTGTCCAATCCCCTTTTCCCAGCTGGAAATGAGAAACCACAATAATCATATAGGCTTATGATTCCATGGAATCCATCCTCCAGGTGGTACCAGGTCACTCGAACACCGTTGTCCTCCAATCTCTTCTTGTAAAGCAAGCCGTCGTCCCTCAGCACATCGTACTCACAAGTCAAGATGAAAGATTCGGGCAGCTGGTGAACAATAGCATCTTCGGCTAACAGCGGGCACAGGTTGGGCTCACAGAATCTTTTCACTGTCTCATAAACTTCAGCTATAAAATCTGTGGGTGTAAGTGGCTTCACACCTCTGACCTTAAATTTTTCGGGGATGTTATCCGGACTCACCCATTTCCTGTACTTCAGCCTCATATCTGGAGGAATATGAGAGCCCTCCAAGACCTCTTGCATATGCAGTGCATGCCCATTTAGGTACTGCAAAGCAAAGAAAGCGGCACGTTCTCGGAATAAGAGAGGGACTCCTCGATTTTGATGATAGGATGGTAAGTTGAAGTCCAGTGCCTGAAGGCCTGGGTAGATCAAGATCTGAGCACGTAGTCTGGGGAGGTCTGATCTACCTGCAAGGGTCCGGCAGCTGCTAGATTGCCCCCAGCGCTGTCCCCGCAGACAATTACATTGGCAGGATCCACGCCATAGTGCTCGATATTCTTCATAAAGTGTATGGTAGCATTAAGACAGTCTTCATATGCAGCGGGGTATTTGTGTTCAGGAGCCAAACGATACCTAATGCACAAAAAGAAACAACAAAAGTAAGAGAAGGAAATGTCATAACTGTAAATACAAATTTCCTACAGCACCTTGGCTTTCCCTGTGTTGTTTGGCGTATTTTTCCTTCAGCAAAAAAAAAAAAATGGTGTCATTGTCTGCTAAACAGGTACTTGTCCAGCGAGTTATCACAGATAAATGATAGCCAGTAGGATGAAGTTGCAAGGACGTAGCGTAGTTGGGATCTTCTGAGAACAGCAGTGATCGGAACTTGAGTGATACAAATTCATTTTCCTCTTCTGGTGTAGACTGCATCTGGCTTGTGGATGAAGTAATTTCATCAGTCTGCACCTCACCTTTACTTAGGATATTTTCTCTTGAGAATTATTTTATTTTATTTTTCTTTGTTTATTTAAATAACTGAGACAGATTTTTCTGCATTATTAGTATTAAAATATATTAGCGTTTGATTCTTACTGTTAGAAAATTCCTTGAAGTTTACAGGAGGATTACATCTAATTAAACACTGAATCACCACCTTCCAAGTTTGTTTATTAGTCAGTTCTCAACATGTAAGAAAACTCTTCTGGAAAGCATTCCTTTTGTGTGTATGGTGCCAGCATAGCTCTGTGTTGTGAGATACATGAACCTTACTTTGGGGTCTGTTTGTACTCTGCCTGCATTAGCAGATTGGGGCGGGGGGGGGGGGGGGGGGAAGAAATGAAAATATTCCCCTTGAAATTCTGTCTGACCATCTGGGATCCTGGGGAAATGGTTTACTGAGGAGGAGCGTTCCCACAAGATGTGCAACACTGTGGTGCTGAGAAGTGAAAAGAAGGAAAAAAGACTTCAATAGGGTGGTACTGACATAACTCACCCAACAGACACAGCCACTGGCAATGTAACGGCAGATCTTTTCATGGCAACCTGCAAAAAGTTGAGGGGTTGCCAGCTGCCCGCTCCGTTTCCAGATGCAACAGCCAAGGAAGGTGGAAGCCCCCTTTTCCCGCCCTGGCCATGCCCCTCGCACGCCACCTCACCGCCCCTCGTCCCCCAGCCCTGCCGCCTGCCCGCAAGGCAGGCAGCAGTGCCTCACCCAGAGCACTAAGCTGGCCGAAGATGATGGGAAAGCTCGGCCAGATTTCAGACCTTCTGCCAGGTTTCGGGGCAGAATTATTCCCCCCCCCCGCCCCCGTCTCCAGAAGATAATAGCGGCAGCGCAC